ACTATAGATGTTGGCCCTGTAGAGAGATTTGTCACCTCCTTACTGATAAGCAATCATACAGGGGCAGAACTTACTAGAGTTCTCATTAATTTCCTTGAAAGGGATGATATAAGATTGCCGTGAGCAGTCTTTCAACAATGCATCCAATATGAGCAGCAAATATGTTGGCATGCAAACCATGATCAAAGAGGAGAATCTCCTAGCTGACTATGTTCCTTGGTGTGCTTATTTGCCTAGTTTGGTTGAATAATGTGTGCTGTGGACTGCTTTACTGAAGCTTGATTATTCATTGCCTTTGTGCAAAACTTTATGCGTTTTTTTTTATTCCAACCGTGGAAGTGTCTAAACGATGTGCTTGAAAAACTACGTTTCCCAATGATAAAGATGTTATCAGACACAAGATAGGGTGCCAATTCAGATGCAACGTGTGCCTTAAAAATAGGGTATAAAGCCATAATGCTTCCTCGCTTCCATTACAGACAATGACTGTTAAAAGCCTTATTTGTGCTTAGAGTCAAGAAACCTTATGCTAAAATTGGAACAGCTAAAAACAGGCATAATAATAGAATTATATAGAGTTAACCTGGAGAAGTTTCACAAAACAAATCGTTCATAACAAACCTCCCTGATGGATGTCAGTACACCTTCTCATCTATTAAAATCTCTCACGACATTCGTGCAGGAGTTACAAGATCCATTTCCGAAATATGAGGAAAGGGGTAAACAATTGTCAGGATGCGAGACATATAAGGTCAAAAGATCAAGGAAACGGAAGAGAATGCGATGTGATGAAAGGGATGCTGAGGACAATGATTTTTCACCCTCTATTTGGTATAAAATTCAGACTTTCTTAACAATAATTGAGAAACTGTCACTTGAACTAGACAACAGAATAGTGGCATATGAAAACGTCAGTTGCAAATTTGGATTTCTATAAAATTTAGAGACCATACCAATAGAGGGCCTCCACAGTATCACAGTAAAGCTGATTAGTACGTATCCTATGGACTTTGGAGAGTTGCACAGAGGTTCAGTTTGCAACCCTCTGTAAGGCAGGGTTCATTGAAAGACCGCCAAAATCCAAAGAACAAAGTTACGCTGAGAATGATATGCAACCAATCTCTAAAATCAATTTTCCTAAACGTCCTGATAATCTTAAGGATGTACCTGTACTTCCTGTCAAGCAGTTTCTCAGGAGAAAGATCATTATCGATGCTAAAAAGGATAAATAACACACTTCGGTCAATGATGTGCCAAGATATACTAAAAGCACTAACACTTTTGTGCATTGTAAATGACTTGTTAGAATCGCTTGAAACCAAACAGATCATAAATGTCTTTGCTACAAAAAGAGTCATTAAGACAGTAATTTAACCAGGTACAGATGTCATGATCTACTACCGCCGCTGGGCATACTATGTGAATATCAGTATGGTCTAAGTGTGTGTGTGAGTGTGTGCATGAATGTGTGAGTTGTTGAGTTCATATGCATGTGGTTTCTTTCTATCTATATACTTTGTTGTCCAAATGCAAATTTTGTCTAGATTAGAGCACCACTTTTCATATTCAAGAAACATCTGATTTTGTTCATTAATTTGTAGATGAGTCTTGCAATTCTATGAGTACTGTTTCCCCATTATCTTCAAAAGAAAACATATCTTGAGGGTTAGGTTTTTTATCCTTTAGTCGCGTTAACGATAGGTCCGATAGAAAAATTTAGCCCTTGGCCCGTCTAACCCTTAGTTCGCCCCCACTTGAAATTGAATGGGATTATTTAAAAGAACTTAAATCCTTAATGGAATTATTGCTATTAAAGCTAATGAAGGCAATGAGTGTTTTTTTTTCAATGAATGAGACTGTTTTGATAAGGTTAATCTCATTTCTTATGTTTATGCCTTATGTGAGAAAAGCCAATCGTATGATTCAGTGCTTCTAAGTAAACAAAAATTCAGACTTCTACTTCGGTTTAAAAGAAAATTATACTTTCATACTACTAGTTTAATACATTCTTTAGCTCATTTCTAACACACTTCACCGTTCAGAAATTACCTTTTTTACCAGCTTAAAATGTTCTCCCACGGGTAGCTTTGAAGTAGAATTCTTATTTTCTAATATTACCTGAAGTGAAGCTATTGATCTGGAAACCAGTCTTGCCTATCAATATCATGCAAGTTTTCGAAGCATCCCTAAAAATACATTGCTTGAAGGATTGTCATTTTACTTTTTACAATGTTTAATGCAAAACATTAATGGTTCGATTTGAGTTCCTCTCTATCTAGCCTTCAGTTTGGCTAATTTATTCTTATGGCATCATTAAAATATTGATTAACAAATTGACCTCCTTTACTTAGGCCCTTGTATTGCATTAGACGTATTGGCGGATTTATAGTTTTAACACTTAATATAAAGTCCGCTTTTAATTTAAATATCTTAATAAGAATCCACCTAGCATTTAATTTGCTGTAAAATTTGAAAGTGTTTGAATATATATTATTTTAAAACTTATTTAATGTACTCAGACTGGCTTTAATCTTATTTGTCAGCCTAAGAAAAGTTACACGGATTATATGCAATTTTTTATAGCTTTGTTTATAATTGTCAAAATATTTTAGTCAAGTTTTAATCTCTAGAGCCTGGCACATTGATTATATTTTACCTTTGTTAACATAAACTTTCGTATATCAAGCAAGTGTTATCAAAAAGTAATTAGTCTTTGCCATTCGTCAATAAGAGTTATTAGAATTTTAGCTCCATTTCCATTATTGAAAATGCCGAATAACTCTAATTTTCTCAGAACATTGAAAATGAATCATTTGTGTTTAAAAATGAACATGGTCAACTTCTTAGCAAAGTGCTCCCACAGATTGGGCATTGATATATTTTACTAGTCAAACAAGAATAGGTAATCTTTGGTACAAGATGAAATATAGAAAGTACAGAAATTATTAATTATCAACATAGGTGTCTTTTAAGCCCAAAAGATACACATCAGATGTCTTCCCCAATGTATTAGTGAGCTTTCACCAGTTTATTCTAAATATTCTATGCGAAAATAACATTAACAATATTTTAGCCCCCGGTGGCTCCGCGGTATCTCTGATGGCTTATCACACTATAAATCGTGAAGCTTTATGATTAACAACAAGCAAATAATCAATATTTTATTTATAGTTGATACTGAACAAAGTTTTCGAATAAAAGAGTTTATTGCAATTAAGACAAAGCGCTCGAATTTAAGTGTGCAGGAGGACTCCTTCAAAGTTGTACTATGGATTTAAATATCTTGTAATTATTTTCCTTTTCTTGGCTCTATTTATTGTTCTGTTTATGTCTGGTAATTTGTATAAGTTCGACACAGTTTCCTTTCCTTTTCATGTCTTTTCTTGTTACTGTTATGCCATATTTCTTCATGTAAACTCTAGTTATGTTATTATTGGCTCTATTTATTGTTCTACTTATGTTTTGTAAATTGTTTATCACTACTGATGCTTACAACTGTGCTGTTTAAACATCTGTAGACTATTGTTTAATTTTAATTGGTGTGTTGTTTACACCTTAAAAATGGTTTGAGAAGGTTCACAACAGTGGGATACGTTTATCTTTATTCCAGAGAAAAAATCTGACATTTGAAGATTATAATATCTTACAATTGTTATTACATTCAGTGTTTTCTCAATGTAAAAGATAAAACGCAAGACATCATATTATAAAGTACAATAAACTTTCTATATTTTTCCTTTCACGATATTCTGTAGCATAAGTGATTTTTTTATTTTTTTTTTTGTCAAAGTTACAAGATGGACTATCTGCACACTGTCCACCTAGGGGAATTGAATCCCGGTTTTCAACATTCTATGCCCATAAACTTACTGCTATCCTACCGGGGAATTGTACAGGAGAGGGAAAACTGGTTTATAGATACATTTTCTAATGTCAGTCTAGATATACCAAGAGACGACTGTGTCTTTAAATTTGAAGCCACGCTCTCTGCTTAGTCATTAAGTCTATATAAGTTCGACATAATTTTCTTTCCTTTTTATATGTCTTTTCTTGCTTCTGTTATGCCATATTCTTTCATGTAAACTCTAGTTATGTTATTACTGTTGAGAATATAAATATGATTTTTTAACCCAAACGCTATAAATAATCAATATAGTATTGGTGAACAGTTAAAAACAGGATGTCCCAAGTTTTCTGTATTGCTCTGTTAATGTTACTAATGCCCCGTGCTTAAACTAAATGAATAATATTCGCATAAACACCATCAGTTAACTTATATATACTTGCTTCGTAATGTAAGACACGACTTTAGAACGAAATACATATTTTTTACCCAACGATAAACATTTACGTCTAAGAGAGAACTAGCATATTAAGTTTGACTCGCTAAATTACAGTTTGAAATGTGGTAGCTCTACCATTTTTACTACATCATAAGATAAAATTTGTAAAATTTTTGTTTATAGCATTCATATACATCCAAATATAGTGTATACAATATATTAAAATTAGTATATCACATCTTAGCTCACTAAGTGTACACCTTAAAATAGATAGTTTAATTACAACGCTAGTGATACCTATGAAAAAAAAATCGAACTTTTGAATTTTAGTATGACCAGTTTTAGAATATAAATAATCATATTTTTAATTTCTTGGATTTGATCAAGTTGACATTAAAATTTTTTTTTGTTTGGATATATTATTTTTCAATATTTGTACTGATAATTTTAGTGTGTTTGATATATTTTATCACTATCTTAAAGACTACTCCAGGAACTTATAAAGTATCTACTTAAAACATACATAATTCACTTTATTTAAAAACTCAAAACTAATAACGGTTACCAAAAAAAACCATACATGCTCACCGCGTACGTGTTTAACTGGAAACAAAATGCAAATTATATAGTTAAATCAAAGTTAAATAATCATAAAAACAAATTTTTAAGAAGAGACTGAAGTTTATGTATGCTGATTAAAAACGAATAAAAACCAACCTGTGAATCCTTCAGAACAAACACATTTAAAACTAGCGACATAATCCACGCATGTGGCACCATACAAACAAGGAGAACTCTGACATTCATTGTAGTTCGTCTGACAGTTGAGTCCAGTAAAGCCATTAACACAGAAACAACGAAATTCGTTGTTTAAGCCAGTCTCCTGACACACACCGTGAAGACAAGGTCTTTGTGAACACGGAGAAGTGAAATTGGTGTTACTAGATATAGTCTGTAGGATCACAAATTTTGTCCCGAAAATTCCTATTACTATGGTAGCTGTAGCTAATAAGAAATAATTTGTTATGTTCCGGGTCATATTGAAAGTTTTATTTTGTTGAAGAAAGCTTGCAACAACATTACCGATATCATTTGATATATACCATTATATTACAGCTGCCACAGGCTATGTTCTGATATTCAATTCTATTTTTACTTCGTTTTTCAATAATATGTCAGTCCGTAGGGAATCCACAACGGAAACACAAATCTATAAGACAAACCTGCTAAAAAATTATATGAATCATAAACAAGTATCAAATGCGTATTTGACATATCATAGTGTTAAATGAATTTAAGAAATTTAGATTAATGAAAACATTATAGAACAACCCAGTAGGACATATTTTAAACAATTATTCTTAACAGTTTGATTTCAAACATTCTTTTTTATTTTTAACAGAACTTACAGTACTTATTGTATAGACTGTACCACTCAGTTTCATAAAATATCTTAAACATGAATCTTATACTTCTCTAATGAAACATATCAAAAGACAAAGGAAGCAAGCACTGAATTATCTTACATATTACACAAAATAATAACACAGTAGTTACTGCATAAACGTCAAATCTACAGTTCGAACCGTGATTTAGAAAGCGCGAAATTGTAACTTACCAATTTTCCTTTAGTTTTTTGCAGCAGAATTGTTTAATTTTTACTGCACTCGCTTAATATAATCATACTGTAACCTATACGACTTGGTTTAAATGTGGTTGTACAAGCCACCGTGGAAAGTTAGCATCTTAGGTTGCCAAGGAAACGAAAGACAACACATGCGCAAATAATATTTCGTAAGGGCAAAACAAACGTGACCTGCGTACGCGAAAAATACGTATAGATTTTGCTTATTTTTTAAATAGCATTTCAGTTCACGAGAATAGAAATAATCAATACAAGGAAGTATTACAATTTATATGAGAAACTAAGTCACACAAACTGGGCGTCGAATGACAGAAGCGGCTTGTAATGTTTTGAAGTATTGTTTTCTCTTTAAACGAGTAGGCTTATTGTAACATATTTTCAGTATTTGAATAATGACATTAAAATCTTATTTTTTTACAATTCTTTGTCTTTAAATTGAAATTTAAGTACTTTAAAGAGTAACTTAATGAGAATTCTAACAAAGTTTTAGAGCAATGTAGGACCAAACAACCCTTGCGTTTTTTGTAACCATGCGTAAATGTTTCTAAGCAAACTTGACGATGTCATTATAAAGTTATCTTCCATTCAACTTAATGATGTTTAGAAAAAGAGCTTTAGCACATGGCTTAAACTTAGGCTTCCTTCTAAAATATTGCAAATGCAAAAGCTATACTGAGAACTCATGTTTGCATATTGGGTTTGTCATCTTTAGATATTACAATTTTGGAAGTAAACTTTGAAGTTTATCTCGAGATATATATAAACACCTTGTTAATTTATACTCTTTTTTATTTTCAAGTTCCAAAGGCTTTGGGAAAGAAAAACATGGTAGCAATGAAAACTTCACTTGTTTCACATTTTTATTTTACACATACTTAGAATTTGAGGATCATGCAAATCATAGACTACATTCAAGCTTCAATTTTGTAAACTCTTGAAATAAACAAATTTGTATGTCTTTATTTCAATTATTTCTCCACAAACATCTTGTGAATATATTTTAGGTCGTAACATTAAATTTTGTTACATGGGGTCTTATGCTTTAATTATTGTTATATAGAAAAGATAATTTATATATATTTGTTATATTTAAGTTTTGTCCATAAAAATTAAAAACATCAAGGAGAGATTATGCAGGCATGATAAATATTATTAAATAATATATTAATCCACATCATTCTGTTTTCTAAACTTTGTGTTTTATATCTATTCTTTCATAGAAATAAAGAATGAAAAATACCATTTATGTTCTCTTTGTTTTGTCTTGGCCATTGCTTATAAATCTATAGAAAATCTTATAAATATTTTTTTCAATTATTATACTGATACTAATTGATATTTGAGTAACAACTTTACTATCTAGTAACCTACCGTTTTATCGCTATATACAGTATTTTCAGAACCGATTTTTATCCCTATGGTAGATCAGAGTGAGTCTGTGGACATGTAATGCTAAAAATTGGGTTTCGATACACACGGTGAGCAGAGCATAGATAGCTCATTGTGTAGCTTTTTGCTTGACAAAAAAAAGAACCGATTTTTATAGAAGGTATCTAAACCTTTATTCTGCTCATCTAATATATTTGATATTTAGGTTAAGTAAAATGAATGATAAATAATCACATTCTTCTAGTCAACATCTAATATCAAAATATTCGGTTCAATACACAATAGAGCACACTTTAATGTAATATGTTAATTTTGTTCCAACTTCAAAACATTCTCAAGTTTTCCAGAAAAACAAATTTCATAAATGGAAGAGTTTATTCAAGTTCAACTATCATTAACATATTTATTACATTTTTTCTCGTGTGTAAGATATAAAATCATTTGGTAGCCTTATACTTTCACCAATAAATCTATCATTAACAAACCTGATTTGATTATGAAAAATTAAAAATGGCATAACCTTTGTCAGCAACAAATCAAGGCATGTGGATAAATATTTCGTGCCTATATCTAATAAAGCTATTGGTCTCCATTTTGTATTATTAGCTTCCTTTCTTTTCTGTTAATTTGATAACACATCGATTCTGCGATATACTTAATTCTTACTTTTCAAATGTCCTATTATAATTATAATTAACCTTCCATTTGTCAAATTTTATTTGTTTATAAAATGCTGCTCGAATGCCAGAGACTTATTATTTTTAAGCAGTTTATTGTTGTTTTAATTACCTTCGCCACCGAAGGTGGACGGATGTTGTGTTTTCACCCCTGTGTGTGTTTGTTGGTGTGTTTGTCAGCAAGATATCTCGAAAACGGGTGAATGGATTTGGAAGAAAGTTGGTATACATTTGGATTATGACCAGACTTAGAAGTCATTAGTTTCGGAGAGTCAAAAACAAAGGTTACGGTCACAGCAAGGTCACGAATAACCAAAAAAACCTTATCTGTTAACGAATAACCAAAAAACCCCTCTCTGTTAACATGGGGATCGATTTTTCACACTACGTTTGCTCCATAACTCAGTCAGAAATGATCAGATTTTCATGAAAACTTGGTGGACATATGCAGAATGTTATTTATCGTTGTCCTGCCATAAATGGTCTGTGTCCGTTAATTACGACGGACATACGGACACATATGTATATTTTTTGAGAGCCGAATATGATAAACGCTGCGTGGCAGAGATATGCACTCTATTGAGTGCCCCTCCAGTTTATTGCTGATTTTACTGCCTTTATGACTTATGGTATTCTGTTTCTCTACTTTATTCTTCCCATAATTCAAATGTATTTGGTATGTCATAGACACATTCTTATTATTCTATTTATTTCCTCGGTGTAATACAAGTTTCACAATTGGGTGATTATTATCATTATTTTATACTACACTACATCTATCAGTATCACTAATTGATACTATTCTACATCTCACCAAAGACGTTTGAATTACATTACTCACTAGTCAAAGGTCCAATCTACTTTTTATAAGCGGTTAAGTACACATTTAAGTGTAGCCACATATTGTATGATTTTTATACCCTTCATATACCAATTAAGTCCAGATATTTCGTAATATTAAATTCTGAAATAGTATTAGTATTCAACTTTGGTTACAATTTCATGCTGCCTCAGGTTGCCTTCAAATTCCTTAAGTCTCACACCTTGTTCGTCGTTGGAACTAGATACTAGATGTACTTCCACAGGGTCCCCGAAGGTGTTCTGTTTCAAGAGTAAATAAAACCAAAATTTATAGTAACAACTATTGTTATTTCTTGCTTTTAAAGTTAATATGTCATGCTGTGTTGTAGCCTACAGAGTGCATAATTCTTCTCGTGATTCATGGCATGCGCACGTTCTACTGACGTCACAACAGTACAAATTACAAAGTTAATCGTCCCTTACGTGACATCATTTTACTGTCTACTGACTGACTGACAGACAACACTGTACTGTATAGTGATGCGAGTGGTTAAAACAGGTGACACCTCCTGGCGACCTTAGACCTCCTTTCGCGGAAATGATTTTTAAAGTTATTTCAACATCATTTCTGTCATATTATTGATCTAGATTTCTGTAATTGTTTGAACATATCAGTAATAGGCTTCAAATGCTCTTTTATACGTTGCTATAAAATCTAAACTCTATTATCAAACAGAATTTGGCCCGGCATGGCCAGGTGGTTAGGGGCGCTCGACTCGCAATCTGCGGGTCGCGGGTTTGAATCTCCATCACACCAAACATGCTCGCCCTTTCAGCCGTGGGGGCGTTTTAATGTTACGGTCAATCCCACTATTCCTTGGTAAAAGAGTAGCCCAAGAGTTGGTGGTGGGTGGTGATGACTAGCTGCCTTCCCTCTAGTCTTACACTGCAAAATTAGGGACGGCTAGCGCAGATAGCCCTCGTGTAGCTTTGCGCGAAATTCATAACACACAAACAAATCAAATAGAAACTATAAGTTTTTATTCTTGTTTAGTAATCTAGTCAATCTATCCAATCACTTTTATTTTACAAACGTTTTAAAAACCTCACTTCCTCATCGTTTAGTTATTTTATGTTATTTGCCCTTCCAAACGTTCAGATTCTTCAATATGTTTTTTTTCCCTTATATTTTCTGAGTATAGTATAAAACTTTCTTTGTGCTGCGCAGTGAAATAAGGTCGGGCGTGGGCTTACGATTAGCGCCTTCCCTATAGTCTATCAGTTCAAAATCAAATAACCCTCTTTTAGTTCTTTGCGAAATTGTCCTTTGTTTATCTCATTTAGGACAGAGATTTACTTAAAGTGAAACTCACTTTTGTAGGACCTCGTGGAACTCACGTATTCACTTTTTCATAAGCAAAGCGCTCCTCATCAATAAATAAGACAAAGTTAATCACATTTCTGGTTTCAACATTATTTGTAGTACATTAAATCCAGTTACTACCATACAAATTTCATAATTTACTA